GAGGCTGCGCCCCCCTCCCGATTGTAAACAACCGCGCCCTCCGCGCTGCGCCGCCAGCCCCGCTCCGCGCGCACTCGCCCCTCAGAATTTCACTTCAGCACTGCGGCTCCTCTGAGTCTGGATATGATATTCTCTTTACTCCTAGTTGTAGAATTTCCACTCAGCCAGCCCTCCTGTGGTTCTGGATGTTGTCCGTTCCCTGGTTCAAGCTTAATTTGAATTGGTTGTTCAAGGCAGCAATCTCCGGCGTTAACCTATGCCGCCATCTTCGGTTGTCCCTTCAGTGTGTTTTAAGGAATAGGTTATATTTAAAAGGGGTGTTGATTTTGTTCTGTATCCCAAGGATAATGAAGCAAGCATGCATTATAACAAGTACATTTAAATAAACATGATTTTTGCTAAAAATCACAACAAATGGAACTCACTGATTTTCGAATGTTCCGGTGGAAGAGGTGAGGCCCTGACCACACAGGTGCTGGCTGTCAGCTGACGGGCACAGCAGATCCAAGCGACCGGACCCCCTGGGACGCGTGCCTGAGCGTTAACCGGAAAGCGGAAGTTAGTGCCGCTGGTTGCACATCTCCCTGCACGCTAACTGCTCGGAGGAGGACGTGGCGGTGTTCTCGTTCACATGAATGCACGCGCCGCTCACGCATCCTTTGCTTATCCTTGCTGCCTGTCTTACTGAAAATGTACTCCCAGCCCTGACCGGTGTGCTCAGTGGTTAGTATCGTCCTGCACTAGATTAGATTCCTGGTCGAGGGCTAGTACCCCCACCCCCAGTTGGGGATGTAGGTTCCACCCCCACCTCCAATTGGGGTGCATGTGGGAGGCACTCAGGCATGTGTCTCTCATCAATATTTCTCTCTCTCTGCCCCCTCCCCGCTCCCTCTCACTTTCTCAAAGTCAATGGAAAAAATATCCTCACTCCTTGGGTGAGGATTAAAAAAGAAAGAAAGAAAGAAAATGTATCCCGAGTGAAATTAAAAAAAAACAGAAACTGCAAAACCACACCTCCCAGCAGTACAGTCATAGCTAGGGCCTTCGGTTGCCCGTGGCAGGACCTTCTCCTTCCCTAGCCCACGGTTTCCTCTCCTTTTTCTAAATCGAGAAGGTGCATCAGAAACGACACTATTCCAGGGATGACATTGGATGGACTCTATAAGTTATCGGGCGAGTAATTAAACTTCATATCAGCGCTATTCCACTTTTATGAATGATTTGTGCACACCGGTGCTGGCTGGGAGAGTGTGAGTGTTGGTCTCAGCAAGAGGACTTCCGGCTGGAGCACGCGGGGCTTCCCCAGCAGCACAGGGCAGCGGGCGTGGGAAGAGATGGCCGAGCAGGGCAGAGAGGGCGCTTTATGTGCAAGTTCTCGGTCCTCAGGCTGCCCGAACAGCCAAGTCCTCAAGGGGTCACATGTTTGCTTCTTGCATGACAAGTGGGTAAAATAAGGGTGCACCTTGCTAACAAGTTGATGTCAGCCTGCAGGCCGTCTGGGCTCAGTCTTCTGTAAGAAAGAAACATGGATGGGGCGGCTCACAGCAAGCTTAATGTCTCGGTGCCCAAGGTCTCGGAAGGTCAGGATCGGTGAGCTGGCAGGTTCTGTCGGTGAGGGCTCTCTTCCCGGTGTGCGGTGGCCGCCTTCTTGCTGGGCCCTGACGTGGTGGGGGCCAGAGAGGAAGCTCTGGTTTCTTTTTTTCCAAGGTACGAATCCCATCTGGGGCCCCACCCTCATGACCTCTAAACCCTAATTGCCTCCCAAAGATCCCACCTCCCAGCAGACCCTTCAGGTTGATGATTCGGTCTTTACGGATTTTGGGGTGACTGACACAAACATTGAGTTCCTAGCAGAAACCCGAGCAAGGAACTCAGTTAAAACCTGCAGGACGCCTGGCCCATAGGAACTGAAACAGTACATTTGTGTGGCCAGAAGCCACTGAGTTTGTGGTAATTTATGCAGCAACAGAAAATTAATGGAGGTAACATTTCAAAGACCACTCCTTTATATTAGCAAAAAAGCATGTTAATGATCAACATACAGTAAATTGTGGAAAGTAATGCGTGGTAGCTCAGGAAATTGCATAGATTAAATGCCCCCGGAAATGGCTTTTTCTTTTTTTATTCATTAAACATCATCACTCCTGCTGGGACCCCATGGCTGAGGGGCTGGACGGGGGAGAGAGGAGAGGGTGCTCTTGTATCTTTCCCGAGAACTGGCCAGGTGTGGTCCGCCCTTGGGTGGCCCGTGCACCCTGTCCTGGCCCTGAGACAACCTTGGCCAGCGGAAGCCACAGTCCGTCCTGGCTGGTACCTGTTCTGGGGTTTCTGCCTTGGAGAGGAAATCTCTAGGCCAGGGCCTCCGACTTACAGAGAGGTATGGGTGGGAAAGACGGCCTAAAGTACATGGGCCACATCGGGTCGAATTTCTTTTCTCTAAAGCATG